ATAAACAAAATATTTTTTAAGCCCTTTCACCCCATTCTCAAGCAGGAAGTTCAGTTTGCGCTTAGAATTTCATGTTATAGTCCTGTGCTTTCAGCTGAGCATACTGGTTGTCAAACGTTCTCATGATTTTTTTCAGGTTATTTCTGAGCTTTTTAGTATTTCCAGAGCTCACTCTTGTACTTTAACTTTTCCTGCAAAAGAGCCCTCTTAACATAACTCCGTAGATTCAAAAGAGAAAAGGGTAGAAGGAGCAAAAGGTTAAAAGTTAGTTTCACTGGTATACTGCTATATTGTTTTAAAATAATATTTCAGCCAGGTGCCAGTGGCTCATGCCTGTAATCCTAGCTACTCAGGAGGCTGAGATCTCAGGATCATGGTTCAAAGCCAGCCTGGACAGGAAAAGCTGTGAAACTCTTATCTCCAATAAACCACCAGAAAACCAGAAGTGGTGCTGTGGCTCAAGTGGTAGAGCACTAGCCTTGAACTGAAGAGCTGAGAAACAGCTCTCAGGACCAGAGTTCAAGCCCCATGACTGACAGAAAATAAAAAATATATATTTCAACAGATAAATTCTCTAAGAATCAATGTACCTGTTACAAAGAAAATGAACTCTTCTGGAAGGCCTATGAAACTCACTCTCCTTAAATAATGTTAGGGGGCTGGGAAGTTGGCTCAGTGGTAGAGCGCTTGCCTTGCATGCTCAAAGCCCTGGGTTCAATTCCTCAGCACCACATAAGCAAAAGGAAAAAAGCCGGAAGTGGTGCTGTGGCTCAAGTGGTGGAGTGCTAGCCTTGAGCTGAAGAGCTGAGGGACAGCGCCCAGGCCCAGAGTTCAGGTCCCACAACCGGACCCCCAAAAAAAAATGTTAGGCACTAATTTTACTTGTCTTGCTGTCAGTGTCCTGGGAAGTCAACACATCTCAACAGTTAAAGCTAATTCATAATTTACCATGTAGATTAAAAAATTTAGTAAATGGTTTCAGTGTTATTGGACTTGTATCTAAATTTTTTTTCACTAATCAAAGTAGTTTTCAGTCATTCATTGAAGGCATTTTGTAATCAGATGTATTTTTTATTCACAGAGCCTATACTGTGTAATTTTAATGCTAAACTTAACTATCATGACTCCTGAACTTCCTTCTGACTACATATGACTTTAATGTCATAATATATTGGCAGGCTTAGTTCTTCAGACCAGCCTTTCTTTCTGCCTTTCAGCTATAGTGCTCATGTACATCAATATTACTGTATTTGCATTCCTCTTGCTTCAGAACTTTATGCCAGATTATATCATCCTATAGAATAGTACCAGGATCGTTATGAGATAGGCTAGTTCTCCCTTACTCTCACCTAACCATGTATTCCAAAATCTTACTGTGCCTGACTTCACTTGTCCAGATCGTGAGCTTTTTAAGAGCAGGAACTTAATGTTTTTCTTCTCTGTATTCCCTAAACACCTAGGAACAGTATCCAGTAAATGTGAGTTGGATTGCATTGAAATTGAAAACTCCTTAGGCATATATTTTACCATGTGAGGAGGAAAATAATTTTATAACTAAAATCAGGAAAGCATTATAATATATACATAGAACAGTAAATAATAGCTGAGGTTTTAATGAAAGGGATATGTCTTCATGTTTGCCTTTTTTTAAGTTGAAGTATAATTACCTGAGCCAAAGAACATATATTTTATACATTCAATTCCATGCTTCAACATGGATACAACATATAGAATATTTCCATCTCACTTCAAAATTCCCTTTTGTGCCATCTAGTCAATACTGCTAGCCTCCATGACAACCCTTATGTCTCCCTCTCTCTCTCCCTCTCCCATTTTTCCCTCTCCCTCTCCTTCTCCGTCTTCTTCCTATTCCTGTTTGTTTCCCTGTTTGTCAGTATTCCACTTGTGTTGTTAAACAACTATATTAGATAGTTATATTTCCATTTTGCAGCTGAGAAAATTTGATAAAGACACAGAGAAGTTAGTTGCTCTGAATGAAGGTCATGCTGTACAGAACTCTTCCTAACTATGCTCTCTTCATCCATTTGGTCTCCCTGAATATGACTAAAGTCCAGCTGCTCTGGGAAGCATTTGTAATAGGACACACAGTACTCATTTCCTGTAGAACCATGCTAATTGTGTCCCTGGAAACAATGCTTCTCCAATCATGTAGCCCACTGCTCATGAGACTCCTGTCATCTGTAGGGTTTGCTGCACTTATTGAGTGCCAGGGCTACTTTGCTTGTGGTGGAGATGCTATCCTTAAATATCCACATATTCCTGAAAGTGTCACTGTGTTTCTTATCATCAGAAGTACCATCTGCATTTTCACAGCATGTATTTTTCTTGGATATGACTGTTCCTGGCATTTCTAGTTATTTAGTATCCTTGAGTTCTACTTATTAAATGTCAGAAAAGCCACACATGCATACATCGTACATACCACACATACATACATCAACCCCATCAGGAGAGACAAAGGTATCCTTATACCTGGTAGCTCTAGTTTGGCAAAGATTGGACTGAGCTGGAGAAATGGCCAGTAGACTCATACCAATGTATAACTGTCACAGTTCTCTGCCTCACCCCACCTTCTGCTCTTGTGACATCACATCACTCTCAGGAATCTTGGTGCTGAAAGCATATCTTTGTAGAGGCTGCAGCTGCATGCTGAGATTTTGTTATGCATTTTTCAGATTTCCTCTTAAAGTTTCCTCAAGACCATATCCAGTTGATGGAACAGATAATAAACCAGAGGACAAAAACAGAGACTTTCTGTGTGTTTGGTTGAAAGTTGGGATGTACAGTCAAAAGGCAGTTATGGAGAGAAATGTTTCATCCCGGAGAATGGCATAGTGATGTAGACAGTAAAATGAAGTTCATAATAGGCTAAGCTTGTTGTATTTAGGAGAATATGCCATACTGATGCTTGCCATTTCCTTTTTTTTCGGGGGCAAGGAGGAGAGAGGCATTGGGTCTTGCTATTTTGCTCAGACTGGCCTAAAATTCTTAGGTTTGAGCAATTCCCCTTTCTCAGCCTCCTGAGCAGCTGAACTACAGGCTTTGAGTACAAGATATATATGAAACATAAGTAAATTTTATATTTAAACCTGAATTCCTTCTCCAATTATATATGTATTTACACACACGTTCCAAAATAAAAAAGAAAAGTGGAAACCTATCTAGTTCCAAGCATTTTGGATAAGGAATCTTGTGAAATTTTAGAGTGAATGATTGAATCTCAGAGTTTTGGTAGGATGGAAAATATATTACTAGTAGTATGTAGGATAAATTCAAGTTCAAGAAAATAAACAGAATTTGGAATGGAAAGGAATGCTATTAGATGTTGTAGAAATACTAAGATTTATAAACTCAGAAATGAGAAATCAAGAAAAGCCCCACGTATAGCAAACCCAACCTCCTCTGTGTCAGCCCTTGTTGCCTTGCATACAATGTGCCCTACAGGCTTGTGTTTTAGTATGAGGCACTATGGCCTGAACAGCCCCACTGTCATTCAGAGCAAGCAAGTTTGTCGTGGCACTTGTTATATTATACAGCTGAACATCCCCCACCCTGCCCACTGTTGCACTATAAAAATTCCTGTCTTTATGCTAAAAGCCTCTGCTTGCTTGAGAAATTTCCTTTTGTGATTTGCAGCCTGAGCTTATGTTACTGATGAGATTAAAAACAGATTTCATTATAAAAGTTTATGATGTTGCATTCTGCTCAATATATATGCAGTTGGAAGAACATGCTTCTTTTCTTACCCAGAGCCCCTTATCGGATTGTCTCTTGTCCACTGTCCTACCCTGTGTGCATGTCTAGACACTGCCTGTGTCATATACCTGAGAACCTGGGCATGACCTCCCCAGATAAGGGGTTCAGACTGATTTCTGATATGCAACACAAAAATGTGAAAACAAATACCTCCATGAATGTTTTATTAAAACAAGTTTTAGCAAACAAAACAAATCTAGCTACCCAGTGAGATGAATTCTCATAGATTCTACCTAGTATATAATTCCTCTAATACCTAATCACTGAATCTAGGTTGCAGCAAGCCAGTTACAATGGATGACTTTCCTAACCTTTAATCCAGTGATCATAAATAATAGTTTCATTTTGATTCAAGCAGGACCTAGCCTTGTTAGTATGAAGCCAGGGAAGGTCATTTTTTTTTCATCTATCCTCTCCCATTATGTTATTAGTTCATTGGGGACCAATTACCTTCTCTTCATTTAAAGCCGAGCACCTCTCTCCACTGTTCCTACTTCTGCTCATTCAGTGCCTTTAGCTATTCAGTCTGCTGCTATGTATTACTTTCAGTCAACTTCTTTTTCCCTTTTAATGAGAAAAGAGATAATATACTCTTCTGGCTTCTCCTTTCATAACCATGTAATCCTGCCTTACTACCATCCAACACTCAACTTGTGAGTAGTGTTAATATTTCATTAATTTATTTAGGCATTTTTGTATTCCACCAGTGGTTGCCACAGTTCACTATACCTCTGGAAACCCCTTAGGAAAGATTTATTATATGTGCATGCTATTATATGTTGTACACACTCTCCCTCCCTCCCCCCACTACCCCCCCCACGCCCATATTAAGGCATTTCCAGAGTAATCACTGAAGACCAGTATGTTCTAAGCTTTTTGATATAGTTCTCCAAACATGTAGATGAGTTGCTTAACTGGAGGAGTCTTGATGTGGCCAGTCAGAGGGAAGATTGTACTGAATCAAAACCCTTTCATTCATGTACTTCACAAAGCACTTTGTAGATTTAGCCTTAACTGGGTATTTGGATATCTCTATCTCTGGGAGGACAGACTTAGAGACCCGAAGTATCCAAACTGAGATTCAGTGGAAGACTTGGATAACTTATAATGTAAGTAATTCTAACCTTTATCTGATTCTCTAAAGAAAAATGTCTGACAAATTTCTTTTCTTTCTTTTGGACTGCTCATATAACCACTCTAAGAAGTTTGTTTTCTCTCTCTAGGAGCCTCCAAACAGGTGGCCTTGCCTGGGAAGGAGAAGTAGAAAACAACGCATATAGCAAGGCTACAGGGGTGGCCCCCCAGCACAAGTATCACCCCACAGCAGGCAGTTACCAACTCCATTTTGCTCTCCAGCAACTTGAACAACAGAAACTTCAGTCCCGGCAGCTTCTGGACCAAAGTCGAGCTCGGCACCAGGTAATGTAAGATAAGTGTTTCTGTGTGCTTGTATCTTCCTTTCAGCTGTTGAAAAAGGTAACGTTAATTTCCCAAAAGTTTGATGGCATTTTCCTGGATTGAATGGCTCCTGGGAAATCTCCTTCTCAAATTATTCTGGAGTCTTAATATTGTCTTTGCTGGAAGGGGATACTCAACAATATTTGATCTGTGGATTATATTTGAATGTGTAAAAATCCTGATTGTCATATTTACCTTTCTGTAGTATGGTCTTTGTTTAGTGCATGTCTGATACTCTACTTTCCAGACACTTAAAAACAGCATTTTAAGCATCTTTATATCCAAATGTACTATCCAGCCTTCATAGATTTTGTATGTATAAATACATATTACTCTTTCATGATCTAAAATAATAACAAAAGAAATGATCACAAATTAGGTTTCTGGTCTTATGTAAAATAGCTGTTCCTTTCATAAAAGTTGTTTATTCAATATCTGTCACGTGCTGGGTACTGTTTGAAACAGCGAGGAAGTGATAGTGGTCTTACAAACAAACAAGTTTGCTGTTGTGGAGCTTTCACGTAGGGAAAAGTTAAGTTTCTACTCACTGTCTAGGTATGACAAACTCCCCTAAGTACATGGGGTGAGGACCTGTGTAATCAAGTATGGCCCAATGACAGAGAAAGAATGGGCTCATACAACAGGCTACACTTATATTTTTCTTGATGGTTAAGGATTATCATTAGAATCAGATCCCGTGTTCTTCGGTAGGGTTATAGGTCTCACCCTTTTATTTTGTTGTGGAAGAAATAAATACCTTTTATCAGTTTGATCATTTGCCACGTTCTTCTTTTTCTATAAAAATGTAGTACATAGTATGCACCAGCTTATACAGAGTTAATATTTCACAGTCTTTCTTCATCCTTTCAGTAAAACAATAGCCATTATTCCCTGTACTCTTGTCTTTTCAACTACTATGTTAGTTCTTTCTGTCACTATGACAAATATTTGAGAAGATCAACTTAAGGGAGAAAAATTTTGTTTTAGCTCATAGTCCCAGAGATTTCAGTCCATGGCCTGTTGGCTCCATTGCTTTAGCCCTGCAGCATGGTAGATTAAAAACTATGAAGGAAAGCATGGTGAAGGAAAAATTGTGGCTGGAACACATCGAAGTAACAGCAAGAGTCCAGAGCCACTTAACACTTTTCAAAGATGTGCCCCTAGAGACCTTCTTCCTTTAATTAGTCTCTACCTTCCACGGAGTCCCAATTGTCCAGATTTTGAATCCATTAGTGGATTAGACCATTCATTAAGACCAGAGCCCTCAGGATCTAAGTATCTCTGGAAATAAGCTCACAGGCACAGTTATGCTTTACTAGTTTCCTAGTCATCTCTCAGTCCCGTCAACAATCAAGATAAGCCTACAAGAGGGTAAAGTATCTCAAATTTGTTAGCAGGGGCTGAGATCAAGAAAGTCTGCACCAGACTAGGCAAAAAATTCAAGAGACCTGATCTCAACCAATAAAAACCTGGATATACTGATACATCTTTGTTTTCCCAGCTATGTGGGAAGCCTAAGTAAGAGAATTGCAGTCCAAACTGACCAAGACAAAAAAGTAAGACTCTATTTGAAAAATAACAGAAGCCAAAAGGGTTGAAGGTGTGGCTCAAGGGTACACTGACTGCCAAGTTAAGCACAAGGCCCTGAGTTCAAAGCTCTAGTACTACCTTCAAAACTAGTATCCAGAATTAAGTATGGTCATTTTATAATTCCAAACTGGTTCATCACTGATTGTATTCAACTATGGTGATATACTCTGTAGATAAATACATCATTTTAAAAATGCAAGCATTTGTTAGTAGTTCTCACTCGATCATTTGTTCTAGAGGAAAATCCTGACTTTTTACTTGGGAAAGTATAGAAAATGGCAACTATCTTTGACTTCCATACTGTCATGTAGAAATTTTCTTATTTAGACAATCTGTGAGGCAGTAGATATAAGCCATATATATAAGCTGTTTGCATTTTCACAATTACAGATATAAATGTATATCCTAAGGTTTTATACATCTGTGTACATTTCTTAAAGCTATTTAAATATATAAACCCACATCATTTTGAGTATTTAAGAATACCAGCTTAACCAGATGTTTTTTACAGGAGACCTTAGTGTCCAAGCCTTATTTTCCTTATGTGAATAAAATTATTACTCTCATGAATTTATATCATTGGTCCTTTTTGAACCACATCTTGATACCTTCAAATGGTAAGCAATTTTTTTTAAATAAGAGATGTTTGTAGGGTATTGAGGCTTTAGGGTAGGAGAGTCCATTTTTTACTGATTTTCACTTTTAGAGACAACTTTTTTAAAAACCTTTCTCATGCTTTTGATTAGTTTCCAGCAACTCACATTCCTTTGAACATTTTGACTGCTGTTTTGTGCATTTTTTTGCTGAGGATTATACTGATTTAGTTTCACCGAATTATGAAGTATATGGAAAGCATGTTTTTGGAATGTCAGAATATTTTCTGAAGGAGGAAGAACTCCCAAGAAGAGAGTTATCTCATGTCTTTTGCAGAAGGAACAGAAAATCATTCATCATGATTTTATATATGTATAAAGCATCATTCTATTTCATCCCCTTTTCTTTTAAACCAAAACTAATTTAGGATAAATTGAATACAGGTAAATTTCTAGGACTGTAGGAGAGAGGTGAAGAAACTAAATTCTATTAGCTTTAGTAGTTTTAACAAAATAGCAAATAAAATATTAAATATTCTGATATCAAGAGAACTTAAGGGCCTTTAGGATCACTGCCCAGCATAATCAAAGTCCTAAATAAATTTAAAGCCTTTGTTTTTAGCTTAGTTCCTAAGCCTAACCATTATAATTACCACCAAGTTGTTCATGAGACGCATGGTTTGTACTCTCAGTGTATCCTGAATTTCTGTCCTTTGGTTAATCCTTTGATTAGAGATGGTGCTTCTCTAATGCATTCTCTTGCTTTGGGTCTATTTTCCTAAAGTATAGGTAACTAAAAATTGGGTTAACTGCCTGTTTGAGACTAGTAGATAGAATTGAAATTGGATTTACCTGTATTCATCCATAAGAGATGCCAGTTTTGAGTCTGGGATGTTAAAGGGGCTTTATATTTCATATTATATTATTATATATCGTATAGCAATTACTTTTGTAAATAGTGCCTTTCACACAGTCATCTTCTGGTAAGTGTTTAGGGAAAAATCTTGTGGCCTTTCTCCTATTACATGTGAAGAAAGTTCTCCATTCTTTTCTGCCTTTAGTCAGAGAACTTAGATAGCCAACGTATTAAAGATACTAATTTCAAGAAGCCAAATTCTGATCAAGATGAGAGTTTGGAAATGGCAACCCCAACCACTTCTGCAAAATGAGCATCTCTGTCTAGCTTTGCACTCATAAATTTAGAAATTGCCATGCACTGAATCCACACCTGAGAAGACAAAGATCCTAGAAAATGGTGTGGCCTTGTCCATTTGCTAAAGACTAGAGATCATGATTTAAAAGTAAACAAACCTAAAACCATTGTGTGTGAACATAGCAGTTTGAAAAACATTGTTTTAGGTCAAAGCACAGGTCTATAGACTCTGTCTGTAAATAGGCAGATAGTAAATACTTTAGCTTTTGCTACAGCTGCTCACCTCTTCCATGATAAAATAAAACAACCATGTATAATATGTATAGGAGTGTGGCTGTCTTCCAATAAAACTTTATTTGCAGAAACAAGATTTGAGTTTTCACTAGTCTACAGCAAGAGATACAGCAAGAGATAGACTTGAAGAACCAGTTAATATACTGGTTGTACCACCTACATCACTTCTGACACTGATGAATGGGTGAGGACTCAGTCATTTTCCCTTTTCACAAGTCCCCAGAGGGTGCTAATGCCACTCTACTTAGAACCACCCATCTGGAGAAAGAAAATGAAATTTTCTCCTTTTGGTCATTTGTTTTCTGTCCTTTGGAAGGGAATCAGGGTATGTTAAAACTTAGTATCACCCTTATAAAATTTAAGACAGTAATTTTTTATAGGAACTCTGTTGCCATCTTTTCTATCCCATGTCCCACAGTCTCCTCGTAAATAAGTTATCAAAATACCTTCTTGCTCATTCTTCTTATCAGGGTACATTCTGCTCAGCAGTCAGGATTCAAGTCTTAGAATGAGCAAGAGATAAAGAATGGGCAAATCCCTCCTTTTTTGTTTTATAATAATAGTCACTATTTTGTAAGTTTATATGTGTTACAAGCACTATTTCGGGTATTTTAACTTATGGAAAATAAGTTTCTCGACGATTGAGGGCAACGCTGAATCTTGATAGTTAGGGGTGACAGAGCGACTCTGTTAAAGGCTGTTAGCCTACTGTGCCTTTTCTCCACATCCTTCTCATACTGGCTTCTTGCCCTGGAGTACAAGACAAAAGCACTTTTCTTTCTGCATAGTTGGGGGGACTTGCTTGGACCACTGACTACTGGTGACATCAGCATGAGTAGCTCTGTATGCTGGGGTCCATGAGGAGGGCTGCACCGACTAGGCTGTGAGGCCCAACTGACCTGATTCTAATTGCCGACATTGAGCTGATGTTATTCTTGGCATAGGGCAGAGCGATTACTCAGTAGTTTCTGTTAAAGTGATCCTTTGTTAAACTTCTGCTCCAAATCCACTCCCCCCCACCCCATCTCCTCCCTCTCCCCCTCTCTCTCTCTCTCTCTCTCCCTCCCCCCTCCTCCCCTCTTTCTCTCTCCCTCTCTTTTCTTCCCTCTTTCTCTCTCTCTCTCTCTCTCTGTCCTCTGTCTCATCCAAAACAAAAAAAGAGCCTAAAAAGCAGAAAAATTAAGGATATTCTGATAGCAAAGGCAGAATTGCTGAAGTTTCTTTTTACAGTGGATGAGAGGAGGGATTTTAAACATATAGTACTTAACTGGTTTTCTTCGCTTTCTAAACAAAGAAAGCCCTTTAGTTTTCAGTAGATTTAGTTTGTAGCA